TTAGGTCCCCGATTACGGTTTCAACCAATGCTTCAAGCGAGGTAAGCGCTACAGATGGATGTGTCGACAGGCACATTTGAGTGGTGTGGAAAAGCAAGGAAATTGAGAGTCAAATTCGCGTGCTTTCCTTCACACGATTACATTTAAACAGATCTGCCTCAACATTTCTGTCCATAGAGCATCGGCCAATCATAAGCCAAGCTTTGGAGGCAAGTCATTGCAATCCAGTTTGCAAAGAGGAATCATTCGATTTCAAAGCCTTCTCCTGTGGCCCAATCTCATCGCACGCTCTCCATTCAACTTCTTAGGATATGATCTTAGCAGAAGTAGCTAAAACTCTGTACCTTGTAGACCCTGAGGTCCAGGTGGGCCTGTGGGGCCCGCGGGTCCTTGTTCACCATCGTCACCAGGTGGACCGGTCTCACCCTTGCGACCTTCGTCGCCCATCGGTCCAGGTTCGCCCTGTTTGCCATCAGGACCTCGATCACCGGGGGGACCGGGTTCGCCTTTGGGACCCTCGGGGCCTATGCTGCCTGGATTACCACGAATTCCGCGGTCGCCTGTGTCACCCTTTGGACCCATAGAGCCTGTCGGTCCCTGCAAGTTTAAGCATACAAATTTTGTCAACTGTGTTTTCTAGTATCAGTAACTCTAAGTTCTCTATCCTCTTTACTGATTTTCCAAAGGTAACTAGCTCTTTTAGGAACTTGCGCCAAACACTAAAATTTCGACTCACTGAAAGATTTGTAGCAATCAAAGCTATAGCGTGATCTCAGAAGGCGTCATGTAAGAACTTTGTGTTATAATGAAGGCTAGTTTTTTATAAAAATTACTTTTCAATACCTTTGATCCACGACGTCCTTTCTTGCCAGTTCCACCAATGGGTCCTTGAGGTCCCTAGAGTAAAACAATTGGACATGAGCTAAAGGTGTTAGATAACAGCAACAGCTCTTCACAACCCTTTTTCAACTTACAATTTCGCCGGAGGGCCCGCGTTCACCAATCTGTCCAATAGGTCCAGCAGGGCCTGGCGGACCTCGCGGCCCACGAGGACCTCTGTCACCTGGTTTTCCTCGGTCTCCACGATCACCAGGAGGTCCCATCTCGCCTTCTGCGCCTACAGGACCTTGAACGCCAGACTCTCCAGCTAATCCCGTTGGGCCTGGAGGTCCTTCTTCTCCTATCGGTCCCTCTGGACCTTGAATCCCGGGAGGACCTTCTTTTCCAACAGGTCCGGGCAACCCGCGTTCTCCACTGGGTCCTGGAGCACCCATAGAGCCTTTGGGTCCGGGTGGACCCTAAAACAATTGCATGATAGTACCTCTTCAAGAATACTGTAAACGACAACTTATTGTACCGCATTCCATTTCAATGAGCTTTTTAATGAATAATTATTAACCCATGAACTGCCCGGATGACAGAGTAATGACTCATGGTGTGCGAACTGTGGAATTAGGTGCCCTTGCTCTCCTCTCTCAGAGGGCTTGTGCACAATAAATGAGAGTTACATAGGCAGTGAATCAGAGGAAAGAGACCAAGTCCATTTTGATTCAAACTTTTATCTGCTTAATTCTTTCTGTATCATAAGCTTAGACTATTTTGTTTATGCCATGGCTTTTCATGCTTGAAGCTGTTTTTTTATCAAACACTTCCCCAAAGGAACTGTTAATTACAACCAAGGTAACCTACTATTTCACCAGGTGGACCAGGTGGTCCTGTCATGCCGACAGGACCCATTGGCCCTTGAGGACCCTGTTTTCCCCTGGAACCCTTGACTCCGGTCACACCTGGCAGACCATCAGCACCCTTCTTGCCCTTTTCACCACGTGGACCGATGGGACCAGTTTCGCCCTTAGATCCAGGGGGTCCGGCTGGTCCTTGAGGACCCGTAGGACCTCGTACGCCAGCAGCACCACTTGGACCTGCAGGACCTGGAGCGCCACGGATTCCCATGGCTCCTTGCGGTCCCTTATCTCCCTGTTCGCCTCGAGGACCGGCTGGACCAGGAGGGCCCTAAAAGAATCAATTACAATGATAAAAACAATAAGCTATATTATTGCAAATTTCTTCGTAAAAACTACAAGCTTACAGGTGGACCCATGGGTCCAGGAGGTCCGACTGGTCCGCGTTTTCCAGGCAGACCCTTTGGACCTTGAGGACCAGTTTCACCTGGTTCTCCAGGATCGCCTGAAACGCCTGGAATTCCTGGAGGTCCCATTACTCCTTGTGCTCCTTGGGGACCTGGCTCGCCCTTTAGAAGAATAAAAAATTAGAATGTTTGTCTTGCCTGCCTTTATAATGTTGTTAAAATTGTTGAGAAATAAAACGTACTGGAGCTCCACGATCACCCTTGGGCCCTACTTCACCATCGGGACCTTGGTCGCCTTTCTGACCATCAACGCCTGGAGGTCCCAAGGGACCGGGTTTACCACGAGGTCCACGAACTCCCTTTGGTCCAGATGAACCCACTGGGCCAGTCACACCCATGTCACCCTTTTCTCTATAAGCCAGGGAAATATGATGATAATTTTAGCCAATGAGGTACAAATATTATGCGTAAGCATGAAGCTGATTGGTTGAATCAATGCAGCCATTAAACGTCGAGCGCGTATTTTAAGTGATATTTTAGCCGCTGATTTACATGACTTATCGTTGCGTAATACTGTGCAAAACTGAGAATATTTTACGGTACAATTGCTATAAAGGTTTATCTATATAGTATTTTGTAATGCTTTACGAAAGGGAAGGAGCGAGGACAAAAATAAAATTTCGGAATAGAGATGAGAAATAACTCTTCTTTTTAATAATTGGTGATGCCGATCTAACCACTAAGCTTTAGCATCCACAAATAGACTTTGCGGGATTGTCAGATTTGTGAGTGATCTTATGACTTACCCAGTTTCTCCTTGTGGTCCATCTGGTCCTCGTGCACCTTGAGGTCCAGCCGGACCAGGAGGACCCCTAGGACCAGGATCTCCGCGATCACCTCTGTCGCCAATGCGGCCCTGAATACCAGGCTTGCCCATATCCCCCTTGGGACCGACCTTGCCCCTCGGTCCAGGAGGTCCGCGCGCTCCACGGAATCCCGTTGGTCCAGTAGCTCCTTCAGGTCCTGGTGGACCCTGGTCGCCTCTGTCGCCCTGAAGTGCAAGAATTTAGCATCCATTTTTGAATTCCACTTATTAACAATTGAGGGAATGAGTAAGTTGAAAAAGTACCGGATCGCCCTCGCTTCCTTCCTTGCCCGGTTTACCAGCAGGCCCCATAGGCCCCCGTGGACCTCTAGGTCCTGGTTCTCCAGTTGGTCCTTGGTCTCCAGTGGGTCCAGTTGGACCGGGAAGACCAATTGGACCAAGTTCACCAGGTGGACCTCGTTCTCCAGTCTCTCCACGTTCACCAATGTCGCCAGGAGGTCCATGAACTCCTGGAAGACCCTACGCATTCCAAGAATCCAATCAAAATGAGAAATGTTTCAGAAAAAAATTATGTATTTAACTCACTGTCGGTCCAACAGGTCCAGTAAATCCAAGAGGTCCTCGCGGCCCTGCAGGTCCAGCTGGACCTGGTGGACCAATGGGGCCAGCAGAACCCTCGTCGCCACGGGCTCCAGGAGGACCGGACGGTCCAGGAGCTCCTCGTGGACCTGGAGGTCCGGTAGGTCCCACAGGACCTCGGGTTCCAATTGGTCCAAGCGGCCCTGCATCACCTTTCTCGCCATCGCGTCCAACTGGACCGACAGGACCAACCGATCCTTTGGGTCCTGGACCTCCAACATAACCTGCTGGTCCCATCTGCCCTTGAGCTCCCTGGAAAGGTCGAAATATTACTCCGCTTTATAGGAGGCATTCCTCAAAACATAATTATCGTCAGTGTAAATAGGAAACTACCTTTTCACCATCAGGGCCATGAGGACCGGCTTGACCAACCTGGCCACGTTCACCCTTCTCACCAGCAAGACCCTCAGGACCAATTGGGCCAGGGAATCCGCGGTCGCCAGCTTCACCACGGTCACCACGCTCGCCAGAAACACCTGTCATTCCGGCAGTTCCAGTGGTTCCCTTGGGACCCACTGGGCCACGAGGTCCCCGATCACCCTTGAAACCGGTTGGACCCATTGGTCCAATATCACCAGGAAGACCTTCTTGACCATCATCACCCTTCGGACCGATATCACCCTATTTGGAAGTTGGGGTGAAATTAACTGTCGAATGTGTTATCTTTAGTGGCAAAGATCATTTA